GATTCACGAGATCCACGACGCCTCCAATTGCTATCTCTCCTACTACCTCTGTCATAATCAGAATCATAACTGTGTCGGCCATAGTCATAATCCCTTTCACGACTCTCCTCTCTGTTTTGATGGGTAGCACGGGACCTATAGTCAAAATCATCATATGCATAATCATCACGATCACGTCCACCAAGCCTTGCAATCCTGTCAAATCCAGGATCACGATAGCTATCAATACCGCGATAGCTATCTCGAAATTTATCAAATTCCTGAAATGTATCAATCTCATGATCACGAAAGTTATCCATCTCATGATATGAATCAATGTATTGTTTCTCATGTCTCCTATCCCTATCAACGGGAATTTCTTCTTCATAACTTCTTCTTCTTGAATGTGGCCATACACCAACAGCATGAGGTGGTGGTGGAGGATAGTTATCCCTATCCAAAACATCGCGGTGAAAAGCATTTCTTGGATAGACGTCGTCCCTTGAGTATCTTTCATCTATAAACCTCCTTTCATCGTATGAACCACCGACCCTGCCAAAAAATAATTATAATATGGGACAAAAGGAGAAGATATAATGTAACACAATGCACCCAATTAAAAAGATTGATGACAAAATTAAAGGGAATATTCAGATAGTACCAATGACAGATATTGGTTCACAACCATTAACGAAATTTGGGCAGTAGAACTAAAAAGTTAATCTCAATCTGCTCTTCATACAAATTTAAGGAGCCAATTTTTCCTATGAGTTCTAAATTACAGTAATGAAGATGAAAAGCAACAGTCAGTAGCACTCACCGAAAGTTTGGCTCATGGACTGCAGCATACCCCTCCAGAGCCTGTGGATTCAAGAGAATAAGGTAATGTCAGCAACAGATCAATGATGATATGAGGTTAGGCAAATCCAGTCAGTCCATATCCTCATTGCCCCATGGCTTTCTCTCATTTTTCTCCCAAAAAAATGGACAGTCAGATTGGGCCCTAATAAATTCTTGTATTTATCATGATTCATCCCATATAGGTGATTTATTAAGGAGGAAACCACAATTACGCTGTTATTATCCCATCCTTGCTGAAGACCATAGCGACCGGGATCCATTTCTTTCTTGCATGCAAGCAAAACTCGACAAAGCGCTCGATGATGATATCGTTCAGAATTTGAATACCTTTCCTGTAATATAATGCACAAACAGACACACACAGTTATGCCCGTGATGAACCAAGCACCTACAAGTCCCATGACTTTGACCTTGTTGGCCTCCCTTTCACAAGTCACAACCGGAATAACCAAAATCCTTTCCACAAAGTCCCAATTCTCTTAACACACAATACCTTCGACAGAAGATACCATCAGCTTATATACATACAATCCATTCAATCAAAACTTGAACAATGAATATGTTAGACTTAGATCATAGATGATGAAGCGAAACTGACCCATTTACACAGGCTTCATAAAAATCCTAATTGAAAAACTAAATTACCTAAAAATAAGACTAAACTCTGATTGAACCAACTACAACCCTTAAAAGGAACTTCCAAAAAAAAAAAAAAAAACAAACGCAGACCTGAACGAAATCAAACCGACAATTTTTAAAAACAAAATGGATGAAGATATTCACATAATCGTAATTGACCCAAAGTCCATTGCTTTTTTGAGCAATATACCTCAGGGCACAAAAACAATGCCCTGAATTTCAACAGAAATTGGATACAACTCCATTCCATTCAAAAACCTCGTTAAGGACAAGGGCTGACTAAAATTGGAAACAAGGGTACAATAATTTGCATCAGAAATTTTTTTTATCATTTTGTTTTAATTAAAAATAAAAATAAATAATAATTTATAAAAAAAAAAAAAAAAAGGAGTTTCGCAAAATTGAAAATTCCTGCAATTAGGAACCTCAGGTAGCATCACAAACCCAGAGGAAGAAGAAGAACCAAAAGCTTACCGTAGATCCTAAGCTTCAGATCTCAGGCCAACTTTTGCACTCTCTCTCTCTCTCTCTGTCCGTCTACTTTCTTCTTCGTCCGTCGCAAGTGTCCTCGCTTTCGGCTGTTGCTCGTTTCGACCAAAACAATTTACTCCCACATTATTTAACTTTTCGTTATTGCAACTCACGTGCTAGGCAAGCACCTGATCGCATGGGCCTATTTCAATTTGGAGTATTTTCTTCGGTCTAGCTGATTAGACCAAGGCCCAATATAATAACCCAAATCTTGATGACGTGGCATCTCTTTAAGTGGTTAGATCATTTGCATGGCTGGGATGTAGCGACATGGGGGGTAAATGTACAATACGTAAATGTAGAGTGGTAGTGTATAAAAGCCAGTTTGCGAATTCGCGCGCCCGCAAGCTGGTGCGGCTGCAACAGTGTTTCTGTGTCTCCTCCTTCAATCTCTCCATCATGCCCCGTTCCCTGGCGCTCACAGCTGTTTCTATTCCCCTTCTGCATAACCCGGTAAGCATCCTCCCATTATCGCCTTTTTTATTTATTATTTATTTATTAATTCTTTTCCATTTCATTTCAGTTCTTTTCTTACTCTTGTAGTAGTCTTTTCTTTCCTGGTGGTGTTTAGGGCTGCTATGAGTTCTCGTACTTGAGCAATTCATGGGTTTCATTGACAAAGCTCAGCCACATTTCGCTGAATCACAAGAACCAATTTCAGCGATTCTCCCTAGTCAATGGCAACGACAATGTCAATGTGGGTTCTTTACTTTATTGTTCAACATTGTGTAGTGTCTTGCACCATTTTAATTTTGAGTCAAATTGGACCCTGCCTATATTGCATTTGGAAGAAAATACTAAATTTTGGGATTACCCAATAGAGGTCTATTGCATTTGGATGTATAAAGTATGGAAGGGAGGATGAATTAGGGTAGAGAAAGATTTTGAAATTGATTGACCCACTATAGGTCTATTGAATTTGCATGTATTAAGTATGGAGGAAGAAGGATGAAACTAGAGCAGAAGAGAATTTAGAATTCCACACAAATTTAATGCATTTTGGAGATAGTTCAATTGCTTAAGGTGACTTTAATTGAATGTTTAGGGGAAAATTTACATTATCGAGACAACAATGACTTACAATGCTCCCATAAATGTTATTGAGGATCATCAACTGAGTAGCTAATGTAAGGTGGACTGATGCTGACAAGAGTTACAAAATTAAACATTTCTCTTTCTATTCACGTTGTTACCTATGAAAATCATGAACTGCTTTATAAGAATTAATGTGTTAATGGCATTTTAAGCTAAAAGATTGGATACGATGTACATCAGATGCGATTCTTTTACTTTTGTTTATTTAATTTGGGTAAATAATGTTGTCAAACTACCATTACTAGGTGAAGTGTGCTTTCTACTTGCTTATACTTCAGTGAAAGACAAACATCGTTTTATAATATAAGAGAAATTGAAGTATGTGTCACTGTTTGCAGTTTTTCTCTGTCCAACTCACCTGGAAAACCCAGAAAAATGTCACCTTTTTATGTCTGAGTTAGTCCGTTGGGTTTACTGTTGATTAAATATATATGGGCGTACAGTGATGTTATGAGCCTAAATGACTATAGAGTATGTACTTCATACAGTTTCAATATTAGTTTGGGAATCAATGAAAATACATAATACATGCGAGTGTATGTGTAGGGGCTTGAACATGGTGGATGGTGGCGTTGCTGTTGCGTCATAAATATTTTCCTCTTTAATTTAGGTTGAAGTAAAATATTCTGATAGAAAGGTGTCTCTGTGTTCTCTTTCGTGTGTGGACAGGGTTATGGGTTGTCGGATGCTGAAAGCTTCTCCGCTAAATCTCAAGGTATATAATATTCTTAACCGTATTGATGATTATAGGATATCTTGAAGATATATTATCTTGCCGATGTAGCAGGAAATTATGGTGTTTCTTTATTTAATGAGATTATTGTTGGTTGGGTGTTGCCAAAAGACTGTTTTTCTTTGCTTGGAGAGAAATTTAAAGTATTGGGTGGTGGAAAGAAGGCTAAAGTAATATGGGGCTGTATGATGGTGGCTATCATTTCGCTCTTTGGTCGGAAAGAAACCAACGTATCTTCGAATATGTTAGGGGGATGGAAGTGGAGGAGGTGTGGTGGAAGGTTAAGTATTGGGCAGAGCTTTGGGCATCTGTTTCTTGTGATTTTAGGAACACTTCTATTCTTGACATTGTTCTAGACTGGAAAGCTTGTAGTGTCATGAATATGTTTTGGTTTGTTAAACTAGATGTAGCATGAATTATTGTTTTCTTTCATATATTCATGGTGAATTGCTTATCTACATTGCTGTACAGCTTCTTTTGTGAAATAAAATTTCATCTTTTCATTTCATAAAAGAAAAAATGTATATTATGATGCTTTTCCTATTCTCTCCTTGTATCCATTTGTAGGAACTAATGATTTCCCAAATTTCAATTTATTTTAGGGGCAATTGGAAATAGTGATAGTGGTGAAGGAGTACCTGTCACATCCAATGAGTACTTTCTACTTGCCTTACAATTTTTTTGGTCAATACTAAAGGCTACTGATTTTTGTTAGTTATGTAATGACAGTGAGTTAGTATTTGAACTCATATTCATCTTACTCTGTTTTCTAAATACCTGACCTATTAGCAAATTAGTCACAGCTGAGGGCTATCCAAAAGGTAACATTTATGAAGTGGGACTTAGTCACCTGGTTAGTCAGTCACTTAGATGATTAAATATAAGATCTGTAGCTGAGTGAATTTTTAGGAAGTCATCCTATGGAATGGTTTTTGTCTGCTCGATATCTCTATGATGGTGAAGGTAATCTCATAAGCAATTAGGTATACTAAAGCTAGATCCTTCAATTGAGGAGGTGAATTTTTTTAAGACAGTCACAATGACATGTGAGTATATTGATACCTATTTCATGATTTTCATCCATACGGATAGGGCTTTTCAAGAGCCCAGGTTTGAGCTTGTGAAATAGTGCCCACATTGTGTAGTTTATACCTGTAGATTGACGCAAACAATAAATAAATAAATAAAAGTAAAAGGAAACCTTTTCTGAGATAGGTACACCTTTTTGTTTTATTCTTTTATCAAGATTTGTAGCGTGTAAAAATTTATTTTGACACGAGGAATTCTAGTCGTTGCTTTGTCGTTCTAGTCATATAATTATAATGTCAAAATTTCTCCTGATTGGTGTGAGATAACATAATTTAGTGCACTGAATAGGCACCTTTCCAGTTCCCACTAGATGGTGAAGGGGATGATATTAGATGATGTGCAAGTATTACAGTACCATCTAGAGTTATACAATATTAAATGGGCATTCACAATAGATATAGTGTCTACAAGCATGATTTTTAAGCAATATCTTTCAGATGTATCTAATGTAATGAGTTGATGTGGCCATTTTGTAGACTTTTCTCATGGCATGTATGAAGTTTTGTTAAAGATTCAAGTTAATATTAAGTTATTAACACTCCATAGGGACCTCAACAGTACCTAAAATTAGCAACCCACTGGATAGAAGGTTTATGTCAGTTTTACTTTATTTTTTTCTTTTTAAACCCTACCTTTAATTGCTTCTAGATGTTTGAATGTCAAAATGGACCATTTGGTTGTTATGTGGTTTTTTTTCTTTTATTTATTTATATGTATTATGTTCCTCTTTATTTTTTAAACAAATTTCTGTTCATTGATAAGTTCAAAATTCTACCTTACATTTGGTTAACCTTGCCATCTTCTTTCACTTTTCAACCTTCATTGAGCCTTTGTGATGCTCTTTTTCTTGTTTGTTTAACTTGCCAGGATTTTGAAGAAGTTAAGGAGATATGGGATTTCTGGATTATTGTCATATGGACTACTGAATACTGCTTACTATCTTACGACATTTCTCTTGGTATGGTGAGTGAAGTATCTCCAAATTAGCTGTATTGGTAATATCTTCTGGCTTGTATTAAACATCATAGTATTACAAGTTACAACTAATATCCCTGTAAAGGACCACTCCATTTCGCAGTTTTGTTGAATTCTATTGGCCTTACCTGAGCATCTGTTTCTATGACTTAGTTTTCTATTCATTGATTCTGAAAAGCTTCTTTACATTGGCTCTTTTAAATTCTAATGCGATTCTATCGCACATAAGGGATTATATATAGTCTTGGTTTGTTTGTTGTGCATATGGATTTCATGTTCTAGAAGTATTAACTCTTAGGGATTTTATGGCCTTGCTTTCTAAGCGTCATCATGCTTCTTTGTGGCAGTCAAAGTATTTTCATTTGACGTCCACATTTGAAGAAAATAAATTGGGTGTTCAGTGCTACTACTGGATGCTACAATGTACTAATAAGGCTCCATAAATTGTATTATTATTATTTATTATTATATTGCCTATGCAGTTGCTCATGTAAATTTAGTGGAATAATTGCAACTCTGAACTGTTTTCTTTTCCTTTTAGGTTCTATGTTGCTCCAGCACCTGGGAAGATGGGTTACGTCCCAGCTGTTCAGAGGTAATTGTTCATATATGAATATCGCTAAATTTTTTTTCTTTCCAGGTTATGCAATATCTTCAAATCTAGCATTGATATTAACACTTGGTGATTTGCAGATTTCTCAAAATAATGGCCATGGTGTGGGCCGGAAGCCAGGTCACCAAGCTTGTACGAGCTGGAGGGTGAGTTGCTAGATCCAATAATTCATTTTTTAAATTTGTTAGTTTTATGAAAATATAGTCATGGTTTTCATGATTTTTGAGCAGCCAAGACTTCTGCTTGTTGGGATTTTCCTGGTTTTTCAAGTATAATTATCCCTGGTTCTTCATCCAACTCCTGAAAAATGCTTAATAATTTATTGTGGCTGGATGTGTTGAGTTAATTTAAGGATCCAGTTATTAACACCTATGTTTGGATTGTTAATGTGCGTGATTAAAGTAATAGCTCACATTAAAGGTTCATTTCTCAAGCATAGGCTGTTACTTGAAAAAACCTAAAATTAATTTTAATATGTGTCACCCACAGCAACCGGCGCCAAAAAGGTTGGTAACTTCTTTTGTCAGCATTGGCTGCAATTTCGATTTTGTGAGAGAAATATATAAAATCTAATTTTTTTTTTTTTTTGTTTGATGATTTTATTGCTACCAAGTATGTATGAATGTTTAGAATGTGATCCTGTGTTTCTTATATGAGTTAACGAGGACCATTTGATGCAGGGCCCTTGCCCTTGCTCCTTTGGTAGACAGGGGACTGTCATGGTTCAGTGTCAAGTTCCATTTTGAGTCTCAGGGCAAGGTGACAATGAATTTTAAAAATTCTATTATATGTTCTGATTACAAGCATCAATCTCATTTCATTCCAATTTCCAGGCTTTCACCGCAATTGTTGGAATTTGCTTCGGACTTGCCCTCGTTTTATTTTTTGTTGTGACATTGCTTTGGGCCTAAAGCCATTTCTGCTTTCTGTTCTCACTCCATTGAAGGGAGTCATCATCTATGAACATGATATTGGCTTCTTTAGATTTCCTTTCATGTTTCTCCATCTATGTTTTGTTTTGTTCTTTTTTTTTCTGTTTCTTGTTTCTCCTAGCAAATGTAGATTTGTTTGCTGTATATGCACTTTACCATGAGTGTCAAATTTTATGTCAATCTACTTTTTTTTTTTTTTTTATTGTATCGGTATTTTGTATGTTAAGGCAACCTATGCAGATATGCGTAATTACCAAGTAATACGTTACCAAGATTGCTAATTTTAAATTGCATGACTATCTGCCAACGGGGTATAGTCCAATAGAAACGGGCCTTGACTTGCAATTGCATACTAGAGGTCTTGGGTTCAAACCACAACATCATAGTTGTGTGTGTGTGAGAAATCCCCCCCTATCGCTTGTATAAATAAATAAAAATTTTGCATGACTATCTATGCATACAATATTTATGAATCTTTACGTACATATATATATATATATAAATAATTTGTAAGATGGCACCTTGACTAGAAAGTTGAGCTTAGGGATGTATCATACAAGAATACGAACACATCTGAATGTATCATTGCTTGCTGGAAATTCCTCTTCACCATTTGTTTATCACTAGTTATTATAATAATACTCTCTTACCACCCACGATTATCATTTGCAGCCTATCATTTTTTGTTAGAAAATAAGGATATGAACTTTTTTTTAACTAATTTTTCCCCTTGTTGCTAATTATTCTCACATTCCATCCTGGAGGTGTCAAACGGGTCGTGTTGGGCCGGCCCGACCCTTTTAAAATCGGCCCATTTAATAAACGGATTGTGACAGACCTATTTATCTATGAAAATCATCAATCTTGATTCGAGTCCATGACCCAAGCCCATATGGGATCGGGCCGCGCTCGTGGCGGGCCCAAGCAAAATTTGACTTATTTATTGTATTTTTTTTAATAATTTTTTTTTTACAACTTCATTTAAATATTTTTTACAGTCATGCATATACTAACAAGAGTTGTTAAAAAAGATGCCAATAATTATATATATTTTTTAAATCGTTGTTGAAAAAGAGGCCAATAGCTGTATTTAAAGTACATTTAAATAGAAAATGACTAGATTATTGTTTGGATTTTAAAAAATTGAAACTTGAAAAATAAAATTATTATTTTATATAAAGTAAACATTCAATTTTAATATATATTATTAGAGAACAGAAATAGACTTGAATTTCACATTTAAATATAATAATATTATTTATTATTTTTTTCTAAAATAAATATAATTTAATAAATGAGTTTTAAACAAGCCGGTCCGGCCTATTTGGCTTAATTACCTCATTCTAACCAGCTTAAAGATACGGGTCATGTCGTGTTGGGCCTTAAGCAAACCGTGCTCGAGGCAGCCCGATCCGTTTGACACCTCTATTCCATCCAATATGTCGTTAAAAAATATCATATGCCAAGCATGTGAGACAATTGAAAGGGAAATTGATCATTTTGCACCTTGAAAAAATATATATATATATATATATATATGAAAAAAAATTTAAGCAAAAACACAAAATAATAATAATTAATAAACCCAACCCAAATCCATATTCACCAACCCCCACCATTATCTTCCCTCATAACGCATCACCCAAACCACCACCACCACCACCTACTCCACCCCCTAAACTGATTTATGTCATCCACCACAACATCTAGGTTGGGTGTGTTGAAAAAAAAAAATTCCAACTTAAAGGAATGAATGTCTGCATCAAGCGTGCTAGTTGCCTCAATTGATCAACCCTTCCATAGCTTCAAGCCTGCCCCCAAACCTTCCGTTCTTTCTGTTAGGATATCGGGTCATTGATCTCCACGAAAAAACAAGTGCGAAACAATATAAATGTGATTGAGAAAAACAAAAGTTAACATACATACAACACAAGAATTTGTTAACAAGGTTCATTCAATATAAGCTACGTCCTCAGGTTGCTAGAGATTCACTATAGAATAAGATAAAACAATTACAAGCACTCAAGTGTTTTCCTCATACTCACTTGTAATTAGGCTCATTGCCACAGTCACAATAACCCTTTCTAACCACACTCAAGCCACAAATAATATGACTCCCTAAAGGCCTTTATTTATAGTGCGTAAGTCCTCAGGTTACATGTGTAAGAAAATATGATTAAAGTAGGAATACCAAACCAAATAGGAATCGAACTAGAAATCTAAAACCAAAAAAGGAAACTACTCATTTTCCTCGTCTAATCGTATCTTCACAACTCAACACTTTCTTCCCCCAAACTTCCTCGAGTGTTTTGATAAATTCTAGGAAGAGAGAGAGAGAGAGAGAGAGAGAGAGAGAGAGAGAGAGAGAGACAGAGAGACAGAGAGACAAAGTACATTCATGTAGGGGCCATGGGCTAGTTAGGGGTGGAGTGGGGCTGTTTTCCCCCACACTACCTCGCCTATTAACAATCAATTGAAATTTGGAGAGGGGTGGGAGAGGGTGGGGCAAGGCAATGAAGAAGGTGGGTGAGGGAATGGTTGTTGGAGAAGATTGGATTGTGGGTTGGGTCTTTTTTTGTCCAGATTCGTTGAGGTTGGGGTTCGGAAGGTGGGGAGCGAGTGGGGTGGCTAAATTACTTTATATTAATCTAATCTACTAGGAGGGGGATTCGAACTTCGGTGCAAAGAGGCAGATTTACTATTTGGGCAAAACAGAAAAATCAAAGTGTCTTGAAGAAAAATGTGAGATTATGGGTGGGTAATTGGACCAAATACTCAAAAAATCGGCCAAACCAAATCAATCGGGTTGGTTTAGTTTGATTTTTGTGTATTTATTTAATTTTATTGTCAAATCAGACTGAACCAATAGGAGTTTTAAATTGGCAATTTCACCTTAACCGAACCGAGCCTCTTAAAATGCCTAAAATCCAAAAGTTCTTACCAAAGGGATTCCAACCTTGACTTTACCCTCCATATTCCACGCACTAAACCACCAACCCAACAATGCTTCTTGTGTTAAACATGTTAGGTAACCTTAACATATCTCCTCTCCTCTTACACTGCACCTGCTCCATCATGCTCTCTCTCTCTCTCTCTCTCTTCCATTGATCTTTGATTCTTATCTCTCCCCTTTCACTCTTCTACTTCTCCTCATTTCTTCTCTTGTGTCACGTCTGTCTCTCGTTTCACCAAACCTCGCCACCTTGCTCACTAACAAGTCTCCTCACCCGTTGCCTCACCTCGGCTTGAAAACTGCAACCAATCCACACCGAGCCAATCGTTTCGATTAACCCAAGGCTTCGATGTTTTAAGGTGGTGGTTCGACGTCAGTTCAAGAAATCTCTCCACTGATGATGTCGATTCGGTGGGTAATTTTGGGGTAAACCTGAACCAAACCACACCTAGCCCAGCCCTACGTGAGATTAAAGTAGTCAGTGGAGAAAAAAATAATGTTTTTGGAATTTTTTTTTTCAAAACCTTTTCTATTTAAAATTCTTTTAAAAAACGGTCCGTTATGAACAAAGCGAAAACTAATACTAGGATAATAACGTTAAGTAAGATCATAAAAAGATATAGACAAAACAATCGATACATTATGTGATAAGCATGTTCAAAAGTATAGGTCATCTCATCAACCTCATAATTGAAAGTATGGAAATAATCACGCTATATAATAACTATCGATCCATAAGCTCATAGACATGCTTAAAACATTACTACCTATGGAATAAGCAGACTAAACACAGAGAGTGAATTCGATGCACGTGCATGATGAAGAATTGGGGACACAAATGGGCTATCCAACCACACACATGCAGAGTAATCTTGATACACATGTAGGATGGGGGATATGCTAATTGATCTAACTGGTGATACACACATAAATGGCTCCCAAAGGGATAAACACACACGTCCCAAAGCCTCTATGAGTGCCGAATGGGTCCCAAAGACCTAAGTATCACTGTAACTGCTAAACTTGAGGAGGGTACTCATAAGGTGGTTTGAAAACCACTTTCTCATATCTCAAACTAGATATGGATATACAAATTTTACAAGGTTAAACAAAAGTCAAAGTCGTTTCAAAGCTTAAAAATCTACACTGAACAATGAGAAGTATATTGTATGAAGTTTCCATAGAGAAGCATAATCAAACCTAATGTAAACAGTTGTTCAAATAAATACGTTGTTACACCAAAACGATAATAAAATCCAATTCATTTGAAAATCATCAATATGATACGAAATATAATTAAAAAGAGACGGTTACATGAAATTTAAAATAAAACCCACTCATAAAGGTCCGAAGCTAACTCAACCCTCAATAGGTTCATCGTCGATGGTAGCGGAGCTGTGGCACCTAGATCAAGATAATAAATTATTAAAATTGATTGCAAAAATAGTCTCAAAGGATCCAATGAACGTTTTAGAGTGTTTTTGGCACTCAAGAGGGGCCTCAAAAAGCTTCCAGGCCTGCTGGGCCCACTTAGCCCGATCGGTTTAAAACAAAAAATCACAAATAATCTCCGATTTCGGTAAAATTTATATCAATGGAAATGACCCTTTAGTTCAAAGATGCATAAGTTTTTTGTTTTAACTCCAATTTCAAACTATTTGCTCTTACGAGCTCATGGGGGTCAAGCTCTATGTCGTGGCATAAAGACAAATTCCTTCATTTGTTTCTAAACAAAAAATCCATTAAATTTCAAAATGTATATTATTGACGGCATAATGGTCAAAACACATTAGAATTTTAATAAATAAATGAAACTTTGAGACGTCTTGTTACATACTACCCTAACTAGGCCTCATCATTTGGCCTGCGGGCTCATGGACCGATGGGGGCCCGCCCGGCCCATTGGAAAAAAGCCCGGCCCGGCCCGTTATGGGCTTTGAGATGGCCCGGCTCGCCTTGGGCCAGGCTAGACTTGGGCTTGGGTGTCTGAAGTCCGGCCCGACCCAATTAAGCCCAAGAAAGCTTGGCCCGGCCCGCCCACAAAAGTCCGGCCCGTTAGGCCCACATACGTATATAATTATGCATAAATAAGAGTTTAGGATTAGGATTATATCACTTAAATCACATATATAATTTGTTTCATTTTATT